TCACAAATTATGTAATTCACTATCTTGTGTTTGGTTTCATGAATTTATTTACCAAGCATATTATATTTTTCTTCACACGTCTTCCACATTTGCTACTCCTTGTAATAATATATTAGATAATCAAAAGGGATCTCTAAATAATAACAATTTAACTATCTAAATAAACATAAATTTTTGTGTGAAACAATCACCTGACTGCTAGGCGGGATCGATCTGTCATACTATTTACCTCCATTTTTATTGTTTTTAAAATATGATATTATTGATTATTCTTTAACAACCAACTAAAATTGCCAAAAGCGACAACTAACTAAGATTAAGATATACTTAACAAAAGGAGACCCAAAGATAAGATGGCATTCATTACACACCTAAACACACCTGATTATCTAGTGGTTAGATAATTAATGTTATTAAAAAGTTTATATATTTTCATACTTAAATTTCATATTTTTTTAAAAAAAATAAAATTGGTTAACCCATTTTATAACTTAACAACAAACAAATTAAAAATTTTGAAAATAAATAAACAAATAAAAAATATACCTGGGTGAAAAATGTGAGGAGAGTGAAGATTTTGAGAGCCGCAAAGAGGATTCTAAGGAGAAAGAAAAAGCTTGTTGACCATGACAATAATATTTCTTCTCTTTTCTTGGGTGACACCTTTGAAAATCTCTGGAAATATGGAAATTTAGGAGACAAACTTTTTCTCCCACACAATACAAAGGTTCCTAACCATGTTGACAGCAAAATTAATGCCAGCTTGGCCAAGTAAATCTTGGGATGTTTTACTTTTTCTCTTAGAAACTCAGCAACCTGTAAATATATATATATATCAATTAATCACAAATTCAAGGTGAGTTGGCTTAATGGTCATAGAGTCGACCTGACATATTATTTGAACAAAAATACATACTTATATAGTCAAACGTTTTACTGTTGTATGTGTTATCTTTTGTAGCATGACATTTGAATATGAATATATGCGTATTTTTTTAATAGAATTGTATCTGTGTCTAACAGTCAGATGGATTCGTCATACTTATTAAACAAAACAAAAGTACATATTCGTAGCATAAAATGTTTCAATTTTGGGTATAATTTTTTTTTTTTAAATATGAAGTTTGAATATATATATTAAAAGAGGATACAATTTTGTCTAACTGTTAAAGTTGCCGAACATCAGCCTTACCATTAAATTATATATATACCCACCAAATATATAAATATTATTTATTATTTAGCTAAGAATGTTGAGAGGATCCAAAGTCCTCCATTTTTCTTTCTTTTTATGCTTAAGCTCTCAATAAGCCCTAAATTGAGTTTGAAAAGTGCAATNAAAAAAAAAAAAAGAAAAAAAAAAAGAGCGAGCCTCACGAGCTGTGGAGTCCCGGCCATGGACGCTGACGTCTGATAGAACCGGATGACGTCATCAAGCGGCGCATGGAGGCGTTGGCGGCGGAGATCATCGCCGGAAACATCGACGGAGGGCAAAAGGGTGTCGCACAAGGCGGTCAGCGCCTCCATTTGACCGCGTGAGAAGGGCTTTTTGCTCACTTTGGAAGTATAACTCTCTGCCATTCTTTTTATTTTTTTATTTTTTGTGAGAGAGAGTTTGAAGGAATTAAATAAGAGTCCAACGTGAAGACGTATTAATATGATGATATGACATGGGAAGACGTATTTAATGCCACGAATTAATTGATTTAGTAGCAATTCTGGAATTAAATGCACCAAAATTTGAATTTTTTTTTTGGCAAATTGTATTTTGTGCCCTGTAACTATGCGTGTGTGACAAATGTGGACAGCTTCTTTTTTGTTTGGAAAAATGTCCTGAAACTTGTTAAAACTCGAATTTTGTGCCCAATTTACCTACAAATTACCGGATTTGACCGGTTTTTCGTGTGGCAAAACAGGACAATAACTTGTTAAAATTCGAAATTTGTGCCCAAATTGAGCACGAATTTCGGGTTTTAACATGTTTCAGGGAACTTTTGCCAAATTAAAAAGAAGTTGTCCACATTTGCCACACACCCCTAATTACAGGGCATAAAATGCAATTTTGCCTTTTTTTTTTTTNAAGTACTGATTGACTTGTCACATTTTTAATAACAAACATACATAATTATTTATAAAATTCCGTATAACTATTTGTATTATTTTTTAAAGTATGTAGTACAGTTTAAAATATATGAATATATGCTAATCGTAGCATTAACAGATATTCATACCATTAGATATTCAATTTCGTTTCTTTCTATTCTACCTAATCGTAGCATTACTGTTTTCAATTTCGACTTTTGGGATTTTTTCAATTCACAATTATTTAGATGAGTCAGTCAAACCATTAAACATGTCGTTCCGTCATAGTTTTGTAACAAAAATGAATACTCATTATATGAAATGTTACATTTTGTTCACGTTATTTTTCATCCCTAATATATAATTCTAAAATGCACTAAGCCTAAGTGACAAACTTGTGTGTTTCGCAAGCTTATTTGACATAAATTGATGATTCGTATTGACACATTCTCATTTTGGTTTTGACTATTAAGTTTGAGAATTACCATAAACTATTTTAACTTTCTTTTTTTTCTTAAGTTACCATGTACCACTCTTACCTTTTTTATTTAATAATTTATATATTAATTATTATAAATATGTATTCTTTTTATTTTTAAAACTGTAAAAATTTTATTTGTATTTTTTTTATATATAATCTACCAAAAAAAACTCATTTTAACGATCTCTGATTTGACATTTATATTGCATATATAAAATAAAAAATAATTTTATCTATATTTATAAAGTATTAACTCAATTTAAAAAACATCTTATAACAACATAAATTATGTTATAAAAATAATAAAAATCAAATTCATTAATACACCACAAATAATCATTTTATTGTTTTTAAATAATTTTATATTTCATAAAGTTAGAAAATAATACATTTCTACTTAAATTCTAAATTATTAATTATATGAATTTAAAATACTTGAAAAATTAATAAACGTGAGACACTGCCTCTATAAATATGAATATAATCACAATAGAATAAAAATTGTTTTGTTAAAAAAAAATGAATCAAATATATGAAGTTGTAAAAACATCAGTTTTATACATATATAATTATAAAAATATAATTAAAATATATTTTTTGACAAATTTAGTATAAAAATAAGGGCACCATTTGAAATTGATTATCATTTTATTAGTTATTTATTTATTGTTGCATATTCATCATACACAATTTCACACTAAAAATGTAAATCATTTTAATTTTTATTATACAAATATTAATATATTTAAGTACTCGTTTAGAACACGGGTGTCGGTAATAGCTAGTTTGTCTTGGACATTAATTCCAAGACTGCATATATCCAAATAAAAACTGCCTAACAGATAACGTGCCTAGTTGTAACTTTCTTAGCTTCAAAATTTGTGTCCACAATAGACACAAAATAAAGCCATTGCGTGTTCGTGATATACATTCCAAATAGAATATCATACAAAATTGAATACCAAATAGAATATCCTTTTTACTCTACTATGAGGTGGGCAAGAGAAGATTTTTCTTTTATTGGCTTTAGTGCTCTGCGAGCCGTTTGAATATAAGTAAAATTTACCTAATTATTCCTAAATTGAGCTAAATTAAAGAATAATTCTTATTTGAATTGAATTTTATATATAATTTTGAACCAAATTGAGTGAGATTCAAATTGATGAAATCTGAGTCGAGCATTTTTATGTAGTTATAAGTCAGAACTTTAAGAGCACATTTGGTTTCTAAGATGGGATTGGACAAAATTAATTTTTGGTATAAGATTATACTGTTAGGATTAAAATAATAAATTGTTGTTGTCCTTGATTTGTGTTGTTTCAAACTTTGGATAAAATAAATACGTACCTTTGGTTGGGCAGATAAAAAGGTAGATTAAAATCCAATTGACTAAAGTGCCCCTAAAGCCTTTTTAGCATTTATGAATTATTTTATTATTAATTGTTAGCATCTGTCAATTTTCCCTTAAGCCTGTTTAGCATCTGTCAATTTCCGTCTTTGTAGGCGAGAAGCCGGCGTAAATCATTCCTTCCTACTGCTTTGAGGATCATCAATAATCTCTCACAGTTGATGATGGGCTTCACGAGTGTAAGCACGATGACAATTCATCTCCTGTCAAGTTTATTGACGACGATGCAACAATCACTTCTGCCCTATCAAATTCTAATTTAGAGATATTGTTTTATTATTGTTGAAGAAACATATTTTGTACTGCGAAATTCCGAAAAGAAAAAACCACAGATCAAAAAGAAAAAAAACACAGATCAAAAAGAAAAAACCACAGATCTGCAAACAAAAACGACAGATCTGCAAAAACCACAAAAGAAAAAAAAAAACAAAAGAGAACGAAAACACATTATTTCGGATCGAAAGGACGACCAGACCTGTTCTCTCGAGATTTCGTCGATTGTTCGTGTTGAATGAGCAGGAGAGAGAGAGAGGTATACCTTTTTTGCAAACTTTTGAGGGCTAGTTGGTCATTTAATCACAACAGCACTGTGCAGATGATCTCAATCTCGGGGGGGAGGCCGAGATTATTTTGTCGCCAATACTCAAGATAAATGGGATTTTATCTCGGGCCTAAGATTAATATGCGGGCTCATATCATGTATACCAAATATAAGATATGCCCAGATAAATGGGGCTATCTTATCTAATCCCCCAAACCAAATGTGCTCTAAGAAGACAAGCTCGAACAACATTAAAAAAAATTGAGTCTAACTCAGTAAGACCAACAAGGCTCTACTCGGCCCATTTTGTCTAATCTAGAAAACGTCCGATTAGAGATTCTTTTTTAGATCTGGGTTGCAATTAAAAAGTATTTTAGTTAAATACTATTCCAAATGCTTGATTAAAAAGTCAAATGGTATATCCAATTGTTCACAAAATTTTATTATGATTGGATATAAAAAATTTTGGTTTTGTTTAGATTTTTTATTTGGTTTGATTAATTTTGAAAAAGTTGATATGGTTAGTTGTTAGTGGATATATTAGAATAATATTTAAAATAAAATAATTAAAATTGATTTGATGTAAAGTAGGAGAGAGAAGATTTGAAGTGATGGTTAATTAAAATTATGTGAGTGGATGAATAGTGAATTAAGGTAAGATGGTGTGTAAGAATGATTGATTAATATTATTTATTATATTGATAATATTAATGATAGTGAGATTGAGTTAAAATAAATAATTGAGTTAAAAATATTTGAATTTTTTTGAGAATTTTTGTATCAAGCATGCTCAAAGCTTACGGTACATGTTTTTTATTTTTTCTAAGGTAAATATACTACTCCTAGTAAGCACATCACAGCCATCTAATCACAAAGTGAATAGGATTATTGGTAATATCTAATTCCATAAAAGCATTTCTTGTCAGAGTTTCTACCACACAGTAAAATGCTTGCGAAATTATATCGGGATTTCACATAAAAACGTCTGCTGTACGGCCCGTGGTCAGCTTCTACACTACACCGACCTGAAAAGAGAGGCATTACAGTTGACTCCGTTTCAATTCCAGTAACAAATCAAAGGTGAATCGGCCGGAGTTTTGTGTTTATTTTATTAGGTTTTTTAAATTCGTTGCGTGCGAACTGTTTGATGAAATGCCCCTGTGGCTTCGCCTTTCTTGTTCATCCGTTTTTACGAAGCTCTCGTGCTGGACATGTAGTTTTTTTGTTGCTTTTTGAAGAGAGAGAGTGCAATGGATTGGGGTGCTGTGGGTCGGCTTTGGGAAAATTGGGTACTGCACAATGTGGGCTCTTCAGGTAATCCTGCAAAACACACACACACACAAACACACACATATGTCTTCTATGAAAGTTTTCCCTTCTTTTAGAAAACATGTAGTAAGGAATTGGCTGATAAACCCTTTTGCCGAATTTCTAGGTCGACCACTTAAGGCGGCCCTTTTGATTAATTACGACCAAGCGGGGCCTTCTCGTCTGCTATCCACCATGTAAGAAGGCGTGTTTATAAATGTATGTGTGCGTGTGTGTACATTCATGATGTAATTTTTATTAAGTGCAATAAGCTGTGTTCACTTAGATTGGTATACTGTTGTACAAATGGATATGCTGTAGTTTATCTGATCAAGCGGTGAGTTTTCATGAACTGTGAAACGGGTGCCTGGTTCACTTTTGAGGGACTAACGAATTGAACTTGGAATTTTTTTCTTTTTTTTTTTTTGGATTAGTTGTTATGGATAAGGACCCTCAATGAATTCGGTTCTTTTTAATCCACACTTAAAAAAGGCTACTGGGATCCTCTTGTGGAGTACTAAGGACAAAAAAGAGTTGATCAACTTCAGTTCCTGCAAACTAATGGTCGTAAAACTTAGAGCTTTTGAACTTTTTTCAAGACTCTTGAATGTTTTTTGACAATATTTTCACTAATTCATGGGGTCCAGTAGTAAAGATAAAATATGAAGCATGGGATGAGTTTTGTGTTGTTAATTCAGAGTCTGCCCAGCTTCCTGATTTATGAAAATGCTTGTGCTCATTCACTTTATTTGTATATTTGAAGTCGGATGCTAAGTTAAATAGCGTTTTATAGGACCGCCAGACTTGAAGCTTTGTTTACTTTGCTTGTAGTGCCGAGCAAGAGGGCATAAAAGCCGATCCAATTGAAGTAAGTCAGTTTCTCAGCTTTGTTACGAGAAACAAACTCCAAATGGGGAGCTTCTTTATTGGGAGAAACCAATGTGAGTCACTCGGTCTGCACTGTCACCATAAACGTAACTTTTGATTTTATTTTCCTTTTAATTTTCCATTGCCCATTTGTGTTTATTTCTGTACATATGACGTGCCCACGATCTTATTAATTGTATTTAAAGTATCAAAACCTATTTTTAACTGCATTTGGTGAAGAAGCTCTGTAAAGGCTTATATTTAGTTATTTACTTTGATGTTTTGTCTGACAGATCTTGTGACCTCGATTCACGAGAGCTGGTTCTGTGCACGTTGTTTGAACACAACAAAGCAGGCCGGTGAAGGTGCTATTGTAATGCAGACATCGGCTTTTCTATTGGTTGGCATGTAAGCTTATATTTAGTTTTATTCGACTCGGGACTTTGAAGTGGATTCGTGATTATCTATCTATGTTTATTCATCAGTTATTATATCCGTTTGCGATTTGATCAGATATGAGGGCTCGATTGGACCTGCCTCTCGTGCGATGGCTGCCGTTGATCAGTTTTCGGGGCAGTTAACTCGAAGGAACCTTTGAAACTCATCGAATGATCTTGATATATATTGCATTTGGAAGGGAAACTGTTCAATAGGTACAAAGGGAGACATATATGAATTTGGAATACATTATAATGTAATGTGCTTTGGCTCATTTTTATGATTCAATTTTCAACCGTTTATTTATGTTTTTTTTTTAATAATTATATATTTATAAAAAATAAAATAATAAGTCTAATGAATATGTAAAGCCCAAAGAGAATTAGATATGAAATTCATCATTCAGAAATGAAATGCACACTGAAACAGGGAAGACAGATGATATCATAAAAAACCATTTATTCATTTTTTAAGTAGAAAATACCACTTATTGGACCTTATTTCATTACTCTTTTTTCATACTGTTTATTTTAAACCTTTGGTAATTCATATTTGAACACTTGTTATATTTCTTGCATTTTGTATACTACCAGCAATCTCTTCATTTTGCACAGTATTGAAATTACATTTCTGAAGGCTCAAAAGTCTGATTGTAGCACGTTTTGTCGCAAGAATACTGGCAATCGATACCCTGAAACAAACTCCGGTCGTAATACCAATCTCTCACTGCTTTAGCTATTGTCTGCACACAGCAAATTCATACTTACTCGGCATCGATAATTACAAA